TGATAAGAGTTGTATGAGCCCCTAATAAAACAATTTAAAAAAAAAGAGGGTGATTGAATAAATTCAAGCTAGATTCAGAAGAGGACATAGAAGAAGGAACATAATTGCTGATATCATATGAATCTTGGCTAAAAGCAGAGAATACTTAAAAGATATTTAAGAGTCTTAATGACTTTGAAAGGCATTCAACTATATGAATTATAATAAACTATGGATAACATTGAAAAAAAAGGAGAATATATTTAGATGATTTTTATAACTTCATATAGTAATAAATTCCCTTATTCACCCAGAGCAAGAGAGGAAGAGTCAAGAACAGGTGGAAGATATGGATCTGGCTAATTGTCTCCACGAACAATTGCCTCCTTTTTCGCGAGACCAGAAGAAACAAATGATACCCAACTCCCACTTCTGAACATTTTGATTAGAGATTTCATGGAAGAGCTCTGATCAAAAGGGCAAAATGCAAAAAAGATTTTCAAATTCTCATGGTCTCCGGACATTCTGGGCTGTGGAGGCTGGATAAACTCCTGAAAATACTGCCTTGAGACAAACCTTAAACTACAAATACTCTCTCAAATATTCTTTTTGTTTATTTTTATTTTTTATAAATCATTTTATTGGGGGCTCTTACAGGCCTTATAACAATCCATACATCAATTGTACCAAGCACATTGCCATCATCTAAAGTGTTCTTAAAATAAAAAAATAGTCTAGCTTACCTAATAAATAATGTCTGACTTGAGCATTATTGCTCTTTTAAGAATTATTTATATGATTCAACAAGAGTAAAAATAAACCCTATGGATTGGGGAAAAAATATTTGGCAAGAACTATCGCCAAGAGACTCATCCCTAAAATGGAAATCCGGAACATGTCAACAATAGAAAGACGAGCAACCCGACTCAAAACCGGGCCCAGGACAGGAACCAAGAGGGTAGTCAGGTGGCCGACCAACACTTGAAGAATGCTCATGATCTTCAGCCTCCCCAAAAGAAGAGTCTCCCTGCCACTGAATCAGTTCCAACTCATGGTGGCTCTATCAGATAGAGAACTGCCCCGTGGATTTCCAAGACTGAAAATCTTGATAGGAGTTGTGACCTCATCTTTAGTGGTTTGGAAATGCTACTCTTGTGGTTGCCGACACAAAGTATAAGCCCCTAGACCGCCACAGCTCTTCTTAAAGAGAAGCAAATCAAAACAATGAGTTTTCATCTCACACCTGAAACAACAGCCAACTTTAGTAAGGCAGAAAACAGCCAAGAGTGGCAACTGTATGAAGAGATTAGCAGTCTCATACATTGCTGATGAGACTGTCAAATGGTACAATGACAGTGGAAAGCAATATGGTGCTTCTTTAAAAAGTCAGAAATAAGAATGCCATTTGATCTAGCACAACTAGGTATATGAAGGGGTTTCAGAAGGATTGTGAAAAAATGGATTAAATGATCATGGAATTTACTCTCCAAACTCTTTGAAGCCCCCTTACATATCCTGGAGAAAAAGCAGACTGGAAGTGAGTAGATATATGTACACCCATGCTTAGTGCACCATTTTTCACAGTAGCAAAGAGAAATAACCTAAGTGTTCATCAATGAATCAACAAATGAGGCAACATGCAAGGAAAACAAGAGTCAATTCACCACCTCAACATACGTGAATCTGGAGAACATTATGCTGAGTGAAATTACTATGTCAATTACCAAAATTGAATATTGTACGAAGCATACGATTATTAAAACAGTTTACATACAAAAAAGAATATTCTTTAATGGTTACAAGGGATGGGGAAAGAAGGAGGAGGAAATCACAGTTTAACAGAAACATTAATTTCTGTAAAGGGGAACACAAAAGACAATCCACACAGTATCACTAAGGCAAAGAAAGCCAAGGAGAGGTGTACAGGAGTTACAGACAACAAAGGGAAATACCATTCATACACTGTCATGCAATGTCAGCAATAACTAACAATAATCTAAGAGTGCATACACAGGCAGATAGGCAAGCTGAACAGGATTGGGTAGGCATAAGGAGTTACACCCACGATCATGTAGTAGTAGTTTGGAAGAGATTATCTATATGTGCTATAATTACATTCATTATATAGGAGAGAAATCGGGGGGAAAATTATGGAAAATTCCTAGCCATAACCAAAAACCTTAGAAAATGAGTCACAAGGTTGGGGCCTTAGGATCACAGTCTTGGAGGACGGACTCAATTGGCATCATCGAGTTACGAAGTTAATGTTCTGCATCCCGCTGTGGTCTGGGTAGTGACTGGGATCTTCATAGCTGGTGAGCAGCCATTGAAGGTGCAAAGAGCGAAGATCATGGAAGATGCATGGAAACAAACAGCCCAGAGACAAATGGGCCACAAGCACCTCGGCTTCCTCAGCCATGAGATGAGAAATACTAGGTAGTGCCTGGCTAGCACTGCTGACCACTCTGAATGGGATCACCATGATAGACAGTCCTGGATAGGGTAAGAGAAAGATGAAGGCCAAGACTCCAAAGCACAACAAAAAAGACCAGGCCTTCTGGTCTGACAGAGACTAGTGAAACCACTGAGAGAGTAGTCTATTCAACCTTCAAGTTGCTAAATGAACTCACCCCGATTGATGCAAGTTCCAGCTCATAAAGACCAGGGCACAGAAGGATGCCTGCTCCTCAGAACAATCAACCATACAAGATCCCAAAGGCAGCTTGTGCCCGGCGATTAAGCTCAGGAGGCAGGAAGCAGCAGAAAAAGAGAATGATTGAAACTAGGAAACACCGGGAGGAAGCAGGAGGGGTGTTGCTCCACGGGGGGAATGCAAGCAATGTCGACAAAACAGAAAACCACCATGGTTTGTAAACTTTTATGCAAATCACAACAAAAAGTTAAAAAAACAAACAAGACTATCTATACCTGGATGAGGCATCAACACTCAAAAGACAGAACCTTGTGTGGCAGTGAGTTTATCTTCATGCAAGAGGAACTCAGCAAAGGAGAACGGCTCTACTCAAACAATGCGGCTGGCTTGTAAGAATGGTGGTCTGGTATGTGTTTTGCTGTGTATATTCTCAACAAGATTAAAAATAACAACAATAATCTCTTTTCCCCTAGAAAGCTGTAATTGGAGTTCAGGTATCAGGCACACAAAAATGCCTACCTGCATTGAGGACTCCATTACTGTCACCGCTGTAATAGCGTCTTCCAGAGTCACGGTGTCCCGAAACATCAGGCGAGCGTGAGCTAAGGGAACAAACAGCATTTAAAGTTATAAAAATGGGAGTTATTCTTTTCCAAAAATGGATATTTGAGGTGATAGAGACACGTCTCTACCTGACTTCCCACTCCCCCAAACTGTACTTCATGATGAGCTACACAAAAAGTGTAACCTGAACTAGCTTGGCGATCGTTTCTCTAACAGTGACCCTGATTTTTCTGTGTTGCTTGTGGCGATGATGCATATGTATATGAAAAACTACTCTGGGTTGGGGTGGAGGAAGGGGCGACGTATACATATTTAATACTCAACTTTTAGTCCTCAGCTTCTAAATTCTTATACAAATACAAAAACACTTTTTAATAGATAAGGAGCCCTGGTGGCATCATGGTTACTCGTTGGGCTGCTAACTGCAAGGTCAGTAGTTCCAAGCCACCAGCCGCTCGGCAGGAGAAAGACAGTGCTTTCTACTCTTGCAAAGAGTTGCATTCTGGGACACTCACAGGGGCAGCTCTTCCCCATCCTCCAGGGTGGCTGTGAGTCATGACTATGAGTCAGCATCGGCTCAAAGGCAGGGAGTTTGGTTTGTTGTTGCTGTTGTTTATGAGAGCCTTAGGAGGGGCTGGGTGGCACAAATGGCTAAGTGTTTCACCTAGTTGAAGGGTTGGCAGTTTGAAGCCAAGCAGAGGCACCTCTGAAGGCGGTCCTGGTGAACTGCTTCTGAGAGCACAGTGCCACCCTGACACACATGGTGCCATAGTAGTCAGAGTCCCCTGGGCAGCAACTCTGGGGCCTTTTGTTGCTGTTGTGTGCCACTGAGTCAACAACTTAGAGCAGGGGCTATTCTTTTCATCTTTGAGGCCAGCGTGCCGTCCACACAGGAGGCACTCAATAAAAAGATCTTTTGTTACGTGAGATAAACCTTCTGCTAATCGTATCAAGCTCTCCAGCAGGCGGATGGTCGTGCGGGCTGCGTTCCGGGAATCACTCTGCCGTTGCATCTGGTAGTACCGGAGAAGAACTTGATTGCCCACGTCAGACAGCGTGGGCTGCAGATTCCTAATGAGGCAGAAGTAGGTTTTCATCTTTTCCATGCTCCAGAGCTTCTCGGAAGTGCTTGGGTAACCTGTGTGTATTAGGCGCTGGATCAATGGTTTTCAAGAATGGGCAAACATCTCATCTTAAAGGCGTGACAGAGTTTTTGCACTCATTTTTAAAAAGATGATCTTCAGGTTTTGTGATTAAAGCTAGACTTCCTCTTTCCTCAGCACACAGTTTGAGAATAAGCAGTCTTAGGATCAAAGCTTAATAAAGGCAAGCTTGCTACAGGGCTTAAAATTCTTCAAAATAATTATGGCCTGTCCTATAGTAAAAAAATCGCACTTGAGAGAAAATCTAATTTACTTTATAAAGAGAAGCCCACATTTATGAATGCAAAACTCCAACCTGGTTTCTTTGTGTGCAAGAGGTGAGTGGCACTTACATATCACAAGCTTGTCCCCTCTCAGGACAAAGGACATGCTTTACAAAGACAAGAGCTCCCCACTCATCCACAGCAGGTAGAGAAAGGCTCTATTCCTCTCTCACTACTTTGCGGCACTACTGACTTAGGACTTTCTGGCTAATCATTTCTCTACTGGCCTTGAACACATCTTCTTCAAAGATACTTTTGTTTATGGCTAATTTGTTTGTCCCTTCACCTACCTTTGTTTTCTAAGATAAAGGAGGAAATGACCCGATCCCAGTCTTCATTCTTGGTATCAAGCAAAACAAGAATCAGGTCAAATCGGCTTAGGAGAGGGCTACCCAGCGCGATGTTCACAGACACAGACTCGTGGGGGTCATACTGGCCTTTCGGATTAGTTGCTGCCAGAATCGTGGTTCTTGTGTTAAGCTTGCACACGAGACTATCAAGAGAGAAGAAATAATTAAATGACTACTGAAATTCAAATAAAACCAAGATTAAGCTTGTTAATAACAAGGGATTGTTTTTGTGCCTTGAAAATCTATGTGACAGAAAATGTGGAATAATACTATATAACAAAAATTGACTTCAAATGCAGTACATTCAAACAAGCCTCTTAGTGACCCTATGAAGGGTCTCATCCTAGGACACTTCTTATGCCTCTACTACGAGCAGATGCCTCTAGCTCAGCGGTTCTCAACCTGTGGGTCGTGACCCCTTTGGGGGTAGAATGACCTTTTTCACAGGGGTTGCCTAAGACCATCGGAAAACACATAAATATTTCACAATATATAATTACAAATTGTTTTGTAATGAATCACTATGCTTTAATTATGTTCAATTTGTAACAATGAAAATACATCCTGCATAGCAGATATTTACATTACAATTCCTAACAGTAGCAAAATTACAGTTATGAAGTAGCAATGAAAATAATGTTATGGTTTGGGTCACCACAACCTGAGGGACTGTATGAAAGGGCCGCGGCATGAGGAAGGTTGAGTAGGTGTTGAGGAAGTTATAAAATTAACCAAACAGCGACTGTTCTTGGAAGCATTAGCTATGATGATGATGTTGTTGTTGTCACTGTTAGGGCCCATCGTGTTGGCTCCTACTCATTGTGAGGCTTTACCCAAAAGAACGAAACACTGCTGGGTCCTGCATCGTCTTCACAGTAGGTGCTATATTTGAGGCCATTGTTGCAGCTTTTTTGTCAATCCACCTTGTTGAGTATCTTCCTATTTTCTGCAGAACCTCTACTTTACCACGCGTGAGCTCCTTCTTGGCAAACATGTCCAAAGTATGTGAGAGGAAGTCTTGCCATCCTTCCTTTTAAGCAGCACTCTGGCTGTATTTTAGAACAGCCTTTTCATTATTCTGGAAGCCCACAGAGATACTCGAAATGTCGAACAAATACCAGGATTCAAAAGCAGTGACTCTTTTCCGGCCTTCCGTAGTCACTGTCCAGCTTGTGCATGCATATGAGGTGACCCATGCCACGGCATAGATACATACTTTCGTTTATCTGAAGTTAAACAGGTTAAACAGGTCTTGTGCAGCATGTGTACCCAATGCAAGAGGCCTGATTCGACTGCCGCTTCCATCGTTGTGGATTGTGGGTCCAAGCAAAAGGACACTTTTGGCAACTTCAATCATTTCCCCACTTACCATAAAGTAGCTAGCTGCTTCAGCTGTGAGGAGTTTTGCTTTATGCTGAGACAGAACACATACTGGTCTTCCTTAGTAACTACATCAAATCTTCACTTTCAGAAAGCAAGGCTGTCTTATCGACTTATTGTAGGTAGTTATTCTCTAACTCCATGTTTTTCATATAGTTCACATTTCAGTATCTTTTCGCTCAGTACGCAATTTTGTCATGTGTTGTAGGTTGTGTGTTACTGTGATATTGTGTGTGTGTGTGTGTGTGTGTGTAAGGGTGGCTTGGGAACACGGACAGATGCCATACATAGTAAAAATGCTCTTTGTGTTCATTTACCCTGTTCGGATTTTTTTTTTTTAAGACGAGAGAAACAAAAGAGAGAGCGCGCGCGGAAAGAAACCAAGAGGGCAGGAGTGGAGAAGAACTGCTTTTGGCTAAAGCAGCGGCCGGGTCTGCTATGGGTGAGCAGGCTGGGGCCAGACGTCCCACTTTTGGCGGGGCAGTCCCGATTTTTAACAATTTTTCCCGTGTCCCGAGGCGTTTTAAAAAAAAATCCCGATTTTTGGAAAGAATGCAGACAAGTTAGGGTTTACGGTTTTCGGCTGCCATGTGGCTATTTCGTCAGGAAATGGGTTTTATCAATGGTGTCCCGCTTTACCAATGGTAAAATCTGGTCACCTTACTAGTGTGATGGCCCGGGACGAGGTCTGCATGATGGACTTGGCGCAGCGCGGCATCAAGATGTACGTAACACAGACTTTCAAACTTAGTCATGACAGGCAAGTCGTCGCAATAACTGTGGAAAATTCATTAACGGCAAAACTTGTAAAAACTCTTCTCTGTCAGTTTGGATGCTCTCCATTCAATCCCATTTTTAGTGATATGGGCTCCCTGGCCCCAGCAGTCTCAACCCCGTGGCATCACCAGCTGCATTTGTCAATCCCGGGTCTAGTTGCAGCTGGCTCTGGCAGTTTCCTCGTCCTACCCCGAGATGGACGGAGGCTGGGGGATCTTCATTTGCAGCAAATGTCACAAAAAAACAGAAAGGCCGCTCTCTTTCGAGTCCTAGGGTGGGATTTCTCCCTTGTGCGCCCCTGAGGGCTCCCGCTCTCTTCCTCCCTTTTCAGCTCCGGGCCTCCTTTTGATTCTGGAGCATCCTCTTAAAGGCCACTTTCCCATGTGGTATTTTGCACTCCCCTGAAGCGGCCATTTGTGGTCGCAAACTTTCCCAGTCCCCCCGCCATGCGGCCTGGCACGCTTTCCCGCCATCGCGTGTACTGAGGCTTACTACCCGAGACAACGTCCGTGCCCCTCGTAACCTTCAGTGACTTAGACAGATGGAGAGAGAGAGGCAGAGAGGCAGGGGCAGAGAGAACAGCCAGGCACTTCGACAGAAAACACAACTGCCAACAGGGAGAAGTTTTGAACAAACAGTGCCCATCTTCTATTTTATTGCTGTGGTTGCTGCCAAAATGATCTTGGAAAGGCAGTGGCTTAGAGCATGGCATCTCTTTTACCATTAAATACAACTGAATAAACGGTGCACGGGTCCTCATCAAGCCCGTGGGAGCTCTGGCGGCCCAGCGGGTCCAGCCTTGGGTGACTCGGCGTAAGGTTGGTAGTTCCAACCCAGCGGCTGCTCTGCGGGAAAGATGCGGCGGCAGACTGCGCTTATACAGATTTCTAACTGTGGAGACGCCGACGGCAGCTCTCCCCGGTCCTGGAGGGCTGCTAATGGCCTCGATGGTAATGGGCATCGTTTTGTTGTTTTTAAACCAATCTAAGGGAGCGAGACTATCTGCATTTTTAATAAGAAAGGAGGATTGCTGGGATGCTGGTCACGAAACAAAAGAAAATTGCATATGAAATAATTTTTGAAAAATTATTTTCAATGTTGGCAGAACCGTTCTTCCTCTACCTAGCCCAAAACATATTTACAGGTCATTTCCTGTGTGCAAAAAGAAATTTAACAAAGGTAAACAACAGGTCCCTGCCCTCAGTCGTTTCCAAGAGGCCTGCCACAGGAATCACCGTCTGGAGGCAGTGCTGGCACGAGCAGGGCGACTGATGGGCATAACAAAGTTGCTGGTGTGCCTTTCCCCCCCACTCTTTTTCTGTACTAACTTCAAGAAACTAAAACATTCTGGTTTTGTGGGGGGAAATACCTTTCCAGTGATTGAGCTCACAGGTTTAAACTTTCCTACCTCTGAAATGGACTTGATAGGAATGAGTTTGTTTCTTCTGTATCTCATGCAAAGGCCTTGGTGGCGCTGTGGTTATTAGCCTGCGCCTGCCAGACTGGCAGTCCAATCCACGAGCCACTAGACAGGCGCAGGGTGAGGCTGTCTGCTCGGGCACAGACTGGCAGTCTCAGAACCCTTCACAGGGACACTACGAGCTGGAACAACCCAATGGCAGGAAGCTTGGTTTGGTTTTAAACACATAGGAGTCATTTTCCAAACACTGCAAGACCAACATGCTTACTGATTCAGAGCCCCAGGAATGCACCTTTGCTTTTGTGATGGTCACCCAGTAGTCCCCATGACACACTCGTTACAAGTTAATCCTCATCTTTACCTCAAGACTGTAAGTACCACCTGGATTCTGAGACTTCCAAATCTAGTGCCAGGCTGTTGCAGTCACCTGGAACACACAGCTGGATTCCAGTTCCCAGCACCCAGGGCTAGACTAACGAATCTGGGTCCTGGGACAGGGGAAGAACAACACAGGCCCTTCCCAAGCCTGCCCCCCCAAAGCCTTCCTGTGCACCCCTCCACGCTTTCCCTCTCTCTTCACCAGCAGAACATACAAGAAGGTACGTCCCTGGAGTGGGAGAGCCACCGGAGGGGAGGCACCTGGGCTCAAGGAGACGTGAAGGGGAATTAAGAAAGCTCCAGGATTTGAGGTTTTGAAGGGCTGGCGGGTGAGAGGTGGGGGTGGAGGCGGTAGTCGCTTCAAGGTCCCAGATTTAGAACAACAAAGGCCCGGTAAATTTTCAGTTGACTAGAATGATTCATGTTAAGGGGGACCCTTTAGCTTTAGAAGGTGTTCATGTAACCAGCATTAAGTTGGAAGACACAGGCATCAAGGCAAAGAAAGAAGAAAACAAAACAAGACAAAAAGCTCAGCAAATGAGTTTTGAGAATCAGGTCACAAAAAGAGCTCTGGATACTGGAATCTGCAGATGACCGAGAGCAAAGGAATCAGAGACTTGAGTTTTTGCCAAGGAAACCAAATGTTCACTCTAAAAAGGCCTTTGCTGCTACTCAAGCAGATATGATACAGAAAAGGAGGGCAGAATCATGTCTTCTCAAATGTGTACTGACTTAATAAGTCCTATATTTTGATCACTACCATAATAAAAAACACATAAGCCCACTGCCATCAAGTCAATGATGACCCGCAGGGATGCTATGCAGGGTTCTTCAGACTGTACAAACCTACACAGGAGCCTTACTTCTCCCTCGGAGTGGACAGCACTACCAGGGCTCTCACAAACACCCCACGTTATATCACAGTATGCACTGGGCATCCCGGTGTTTCAGCTCTTTACTCTGACTACTCACAACACTGCAGAAATCACACTGAAGCCATGGTCGCCTGGACATCTGGATGATGGGGGCATGGCTTATGACATGCCCTTACAAGTACATATGTCCATGACAGGAAAGCACAGCGTAAAGCTTAGCCTCAACTCAGAAAGTAATTTGAGAAAAGAGAACCATTACATGGAACAAGCTCAACTACAGTAAGTGTGCAGTTAACGCTCTGCGGTGCATCAA